ATTTGACTTGTAAATATCGCGTTAAATAAAGATAGGTATTTTTGATCACTGGATCGATCTGGTTGGATCAGGTAAGCTGATTTCACAAGACAAAATGCTGGCTTGGGTGGCTTTTTATAAAAGAAATGATTTTTTTTTCGAACGAATGAAATCTTTTAAGATCCGTGGTGAGTCATTTTGAAGGAAAATAATCATTTTAATTTCTCAGATTTTTATCCTGTAGTTTAGATATTACGTGGGCGAGTGTATTTTTTGCTCAGGGGATCGAAGATAAGCACCATATTTACGATTAGGCTCACCATCGGGGATTTAATTTCGGTTACATCTGGGCATTATGTTGAGGTCAATTGCTGTTTTTTTGTTTTTTAGATTGCGACGACATATCAGGGAAATGCATGGTGATTACGGGAGCGTTCGGAGTTGTCTGACTGAAGATGATGGGACTTTAGATGATGGAAGCACAGTTACTATAGAATCTGGAAGCGGTGCTACGGGATCGAGTGGTATTAAATGCTCAATACAGAATACGGGAGACTCGTCAGCAGCGGATTCACCAAAAGAAAAATTCGTTAACATTGATGGCGATGAAGACAATCCAGGTATTCTTGAGCATTTTGTGTTTTTTGGCATGTCTTAGATTGCACTTATGTCCTTTTAAACTTTGCTTGGCTCAGTGTGAAGGTTCTTGTTGTGCAAGTTTTGAAAGTACTTACCCCGCCTTTGGTCTAAACTTTCTGACTCCGGCCGCTCCACATTTTGTTTTGGACCGTCCACTTGTTTTAAGATTACAGCTGGGTCTTCTAACGGTCGCGATTTATTATTATTTTTTAAATCACGATATTCACGAAAATTCCAACGATTAAATAAGGATGAATTTTCTTCACAGTATCGGAAGAGATTGCAGAATTTTGAATCTTTAAGATACATTCTTTGTACAGTCTCTTTAGAAAAAGTGTGGTTATCGAACCTGGGTACCGCGTATGTCAGTAGATCGAATTACCCCTGGAAGGTGTCGGGCCAGACCAAAGTAAGA